CTATTTTTTGGTTGCAGCCGTCATTGTTGTTTGGCGGGTCCAGGCTGGGGATTCGAACCCGCCACCTTAGGTGTATGTGGCTGGCGCCTTAGCCAGTTGAGCTATAGGTGCCGAGCCAGAAGTATTTAGTATTAATGATCTACCTCTCTTCTTTAAACTTAACCTGCCCCCATCTTGCTTTTTTCAATGAATGAAAATCATTTTATTTTTATTTTTGAGACAGTCTCACTTTGTTGCCCTGGGTGGGGTGCTGTGGCATCTAACTTGCAGTAACCTCAAACTCTTGGGCTCAAGCAATTCTCTTGCCTCAGCCTCCCAAGTAGCTGGGACTATAGGTACCCTCTACAATGTCTGGCTATTTTTAGAGACAGGGTTTCACTCTTGATCAGGCTGGTCTCAAACTCCTGAGCTCAAGCAATCCACTTTCCTTGGCCTCCCAGAATGAAAAGCATTTAATGAGCTAAGAATTTCATTTCTCACTGATTGGAAACAACCACAATCATATGACCTTGCTGTAGGTCTTGAATCAGATGTACAAAGTGCTATTACAATTCAAAAATTAAAAAAGTCAACACGAAAAGGGGATCTAATAGCTAGTTAGATTGTTAGGTAAATACAGTTATTCTGGAGGTAACGTGTAAGCTAAGTACTAAATGATGGTCAGAAGACAAAGGGAGACTGCTATTTCTACTAGAGGAAACAAAACCTTTCTTTAGTACCAGACTACAAAACAAGAATTTAGTCATTTTTGTTCCTTAAGGCTAAGTTGATTTCTTTAGTTATAGTTAATGTACATAAATCATTGGGTTTTTTTGGACAGATCTTACAGAATGGTTCCTAATTAAATGGCAGTTCAGCGGCTAGGGCGCCAGCCACGTGCACCAGGGCCAGTGGTTTGAACCCAGCCCAGGCCTACTAAACAACAATGACAACAACAGTAAAAAAAATAGCTGGGCATTATGATGGGTGCCTGTAGTCCCAGCTACTTGGGAGACTGAGGCAAGAGAATCACTTAAGCCCAAGAGTTTGAGGGTGGCACCTATGGCTCACCCCATATGCCGAGGGTGGCGGGTTCAAACCCCACCCTGGCCCCGGCCCTGGCTGAACTGCAACAAAAAAGTAGCCGGGCATTGTGGCAGGCACCCCTAGTCCCAGCTACTCGGGAGGCTGAGGCACGAGAATCGCTTAAGCCCAGGAGTTGGAGGTTGTTGTGAGCTGTGTAATGCCGTGGCACTCTACTGAGGGTGATAAAGTGAGACTCTGTCTCCACACACACACACACAAAGTTTGAGGTTGCTGTGAGCTGTGATGTCATGGTACTCTACCAAGAGCAACATAGTGAGACTCTGTCCCCCAACCCCCACCCACCAAAAAATTCAGTTCCTTAGTTGTTCTAGCCATATTTGAAGTGGCTGGCACCTATATAATTGGACAGCACAAATAAAGAACTTCTTCAGTGTTGTTAAGTTCTCCTGGGCAGTGGTAGTCTGGAAAGCCACTAGAATATATAAATATGCTCCTTGAGATTTTGTTCACTGCTATATTCCTAGTGATTAACACAAATGTCAAATATTTGTTAAATGAGGAAATTAATAAATGTATGGATGAATGGAAGCATCATTATCTGCTCTCAGACAAAAAGTGACAATATGCATGAGGTTTTTTCTTTCTTTGTTTTTTTATTTTTTTGAGACAGAGTCTCATTCTTGTTGCCCAGGCTAGAGTGCCATCATATCATTAAAGCTTATGGCAACCTCAAACTCCTGGGCTCAAGCAATCCTCCTGCCTTAGGCTCCCAAGTAGCTGGGACTACAAGCATCTGCCACAACACCCGGCTTATTTTTCTATTTTTAGTAGAGACAGGAGTCTTGCTCTTGCTCAGGCTGGTTTTGAATTTCTGAGCTCAAGTGATGCTCCTGCCTCAGCCTCCCAGAGTGCTCGGGTTGGATTACAGGCGAGAGCCACTGTGTCTAGCTAAAATGTGCATGAGCTTTAAGGTGAGAAAGTGCTTGGTATGTTTGAGGAACTAAGAGAAGACTGGCTTTCATCATTCATTCATTCATTCATTCATTCATACATAGACAGAGTTTCACTTTCTTGCCCTCAGTAGAGTGCTGATGGCATCATAGCTTACAGCAACCTCAAACTCTTGGTTTCAAAAGATCCTCTTGCCTCAGCCTCCCAAGTTGCTGGGACTTACAGGTACCTGCCGCAACTCCTGGCTATTTTTAGAAATAGGGTCTTGCTCTGGCTCAAATTGATCTTGAACACCTGAGCACAAGCAGTCCACTCACCTCAGCCTCCCAGAGTTCTAGGATTACGGACCAGCCTAAAACTGGCTTTTACGGCAGAGAGAAGTAAGACAGTTTGAGAACAACAAAGAGGTAGTGATAACTTGAACCCCGTAAGTGATAGTTCTTAAACCTTAATTTTGTTGAAAGTACATTGGGAAGTGATGGAAAGGTTTGTAGACTAGCAATAATGTGATCTGATCTGGATGCCTTTTTAGCAAATTTCTTTTTTTCGTTTTACTAGCGTTCTTGAGAGTTTAATAAAGTGGTAGGTATGATTTAAGTAAATAACTGCCTGCAGAGATTCCAGATTATTCATTTGCTTCATTTTTGGTGTTCTAGCATCCTTATTTTATGTACATATTTTTAATGACTGTGTACTTAAAAGCAGGAACTTATAGGCAAGAACTTGTTTTTGTTTTTTCCAGTGAAGGTGGTGTTTTTAAGGCTCATCTCACTTTCCCAAAAGATTATCCCCTCCGGCCTCCTAAAATGAAATTCATTACAGAAATCTGGCATCCAAATGGTAAGTTCATCTAATTGTACTTTTACATTTGCAAATATGGTGACCTGTCACTAAAGTTTTAATAAGAAAGATATAGTTCTTAATGAAATTGCTCTGTAATTTTTGTACTAAGTTCATTGTGTTCTTGTACATATGGTCTTGTACTAAATTCTTTGAAAGAGGAGTAACAGATCATATGGAAAGTTTCTTTTTAATGAGTTTTCAGTCCTTTTTGAGACTCACAGTGTTCTAAACTAGAGGCAAAATGGAGTTCCTATGATTAAGGTGATAAATTTCAAGGTATTAGGTGACTTACTGGCTATAGTAGAGCATAGAAATTTTATATTTTCTCACCTTACCGTTTATATCATAGTAACTCTTTTATCTGTGTATATTCTTAGCTATAAAAAGGGAAGATCCCACCTACCTTATGAGGTAACTGTTCGGATCAAAAGAAATAATATACTGTATCAGTGCTGTGTGTGGAAACATAAACAAACTGCATATTTTAAGCTTGGAAAACATTCCTATTGTGGTTGAAATAATGATGTTAACATTTTTAAACAAAGAGCTACCATTTAAAATCTACTTTATGCCCTTGGCGCCTGGGGCTCAACTGGTTAAGGCACCAGCCACATACACCTAAGGTGGAGGTTTCGAATCCAGCCCAGGCCTGCCAAACAACAATGATGTTTGCAACCAAAAAATAGCCGGGCGTTGTGGCAGGCACCTGTATAGTCCCAGCTACTTGGGAGACTGAGGCAGGAGACTCGGTTGAGCCCAGGAGTTGGAAATTGCTGTGAGCTGTGATGCCACAGCACTCTACCCAGGGGGATAGCTTGAGGCTCTGTCTCAAAAAAAAAAAAAAATCTACTTTATGAACCAAAGGTTAGACTAGATAAGTTATATTCATTCATATGCACTCTCTTTCAGTTTTTGGCCTTGTTTTTTATGATAGAGCTTGCAGGGATTCTTTTCTAATTATTTTGACTGTGTGTAATCAAAATTGTCTTTTGGGGCCACCATACTGATGTTGGTTTCTGCTTCTCATTGTCAAGACTGTTTTGGTTGCAAGGAATGAAAACACAGAGGGTGCCAAATAAAGTATGCACATTTTAAGAAAGGAAAAAATTGCATTAAAATTGTAATATTCAGCTCAGCTCCCAAAGTACAGTGGTTACGGCGCCAGCTACTGAGGCTGGCAGGCTCTAACACAGCCTGGGCCAGCTAAGCAGCAATGACAACTGCAACAAAGAAATAGCCGGACGTTGTGGCGGGCATCTGTAGTCCCAGCTACTTGGGAGGCTGAGGCAAGAGAATTGCTTAAGCACAGGAGTTGGAGGTTGCTTTGAGCTGTGATGCCACGCCACTCTACTGAGGGCAACATAGTGAATTCTGTCCCCCCCCAAAAAAAAGGACCAGGTAAGGTGGCTCATGCCTGTAATCCTAGCACTCTGGGAGGTTGACTGGGGTGGATTGCTTGAGCTCAGGAGTTGAAGATCTGCCTGAGCAAGAGGAAACCCCATCTCAGCCAGGCATTGTGGCAACTACTAATACATGCTACAACATGGGCAAACCTTGAAACATTGTGCTAAGTAAACAAATCACTCACAAAAGATCACATAGTGTAAGACTCTATTTATATGAAATGTACAGAATAGGCAAATCCCATAAAGACAGGAAGTAGATTAGTGGTCGACTAGGGCTGTGTGGGGAGGCAGGGAGAGTTAGGAGGAGAGTTAGGAGAAATCATGAAGAATGATTTCTAATGGCTATGGATTTCTTTTCGAGGTGACGAGTTGTTTGTTTGTTTGTTTGTTTTGTTTTTTTGAGACAGAGCCTCAAGCTGTCGTCCTGGGTAGAGTGCTGAGTCATCACAGCTTACAGCAACCTCCAACTCCTGGACTTAAGTAGTTCTCTTGCCTCAGCCTCCCAAGTAGCTGGGACTATAGGCACCTGCCACACAACGCCCGGATATTTTTTGGTTGTAGTTGTCATTGTTGTTTGGTGGGCCCAGGCTGTATTCGAACCCGCCAGCTCTAGTGTATATGGCTGGCGCCTTAGCTGCTTTGAGCTGGGGGGTGATGAATTTTGACTATGGTATTGGTTGTACAACTCTGTAAACATATAGATAGACACCATTAGTACGCTTTGAATAGGTGATTTGTAAGGTAGGTGAATCATATCTTAACAAAGCTGTTACAAAGATTATTGTAGGGTAAATACTAGTTTTATGTGGCTTAGATGTATTCAATTTTGGATGTGGTTTCTCTTTAGGTATACTTGCTACTTCCAGTTAGATAATTAGATAAAACTAGTCCAGGGCTCTGGACTAGTTTAGCTTAGGACCTAAATTTACTGTATCAAGATGATAGATAACATTGTGATATAATAAATTAGTTAATTTACCCAGGGAAAAGGTGGTTAATGTTGAAGATTAGTTTAATACCAAAAGTTGGATTAGAGGACAGGAAAATTTGAAAGACTGAAGAGCACTTCAAGAACTGGGGAAAAGGCTCGGTGCCTGTGGCTCAAGTGGCTAAGGTGCTAGCCACATACACCTAAGGTGGCAGGTTCGAATCCAGCCCGGGCCCGACAAACAACAATGATGGCTGCAAGCAAAAAATAGCTGAGCATTGTGGCGGGCGCCTGTGGTCCCAGCTACTTGGGAAGTGGAGGGAGGAGACTCACTTGAGCCCAGGAGTTTGAGGTTGCTGTGAGCTGTGATGCCATGGCACTCTACCCAGGGGGATAGCTTGAGGCTCTGTCTCCAAAAAAAAAAAAAAAAACTGAGGAAAAACAGGGTGTCATAGAAGCCGAGGGAGGAACATGTACCCAGAAAGATGTCAACAGTGTTGTTTTGGGTGAGGAGAGTTGTTTTAAGATAGATAAAACTACTCGGGAGATTATGAGCTCTGACAGTTAAGTTGGTGAATTCATCCTAGAAAAAGTGCTACAAACCTTGTTGCTGAATGTCATTACTGTCACCTAGGAAGTACTCCCTTTGGGAAGCTATGCAATAGCACCAGCACCTAGTCCATCCTTCCAAGTAATTTTGGGACTCTTTTTCTGGAATGGTTTATTAAAGTTGCCATTGTATTACCCTTGATGTCCTGAATGTCATCAAAATGTCTTTCTTTCAGGGTGGCACCTGTAGCTCACGTAGTTCAGTGGGTAGGGCTCTGGCCACATACACCAAGGCTGACAGTTTTGAACCCAGCCCAGGCCTGCTAAACAACAACGACAACTACAACAACAAAACAAAGTAGCTGGGCGTTGTGGCAGGCACCAGTAGTCCCAGCTACTTGGGAGGCTGAGGCAAGAGAATTGCTTAAGTTTGAGTAGCTGTGAGCTGTAATGCCAGGGCACTCTACTGAGAGCACCATAGTGAGACTCTGTTTCAAAAAAAAAATAAAGTCTTCCATTTACTGTTTCCTTTATCTTTTGGGTAGAGAAAAAAGTAATGGAGATTTCATGGAGTAAGAAGGGTGTACCCATATAGTTATTTGTTTACTGGCTAAAAACTCCCTCACACACATGCTTTGTAAACTGTACATTGCTGTGATGCAAGAGTATCTCCTTTGGTGGGGTGTGGTGGCTAATGCCAATAATCCTGACACTCTTGGAGGCTGAGACGGATGGGATCGCCAGAGCTCAGGAGTTTGATATTGCTCCCGGCAGAGCGAGACCCTGTCTCTACTAAAAACAGAAAAGCCGGCTGGTCATTGTGGCGAGTTCCCTGTAGTCCCAGCTACTTAAGAGGCCGAGGTAAAGAAGATTGCTTGTGCCTAAGAGTTTGAGATTGCTGTGAACTACAGTGATACTAAGTTGAGACTCTGTCTTAAAAAGAAAAAGAGTCACAACTTTCTCATGCTAAGATTTTCCTGTTTCTCTGTTGATGTTTACCTGATTTGCTATGCTTCTCACAGCCAGCTGAGGATTTTGGCCCATAATTTTATGGATTTTTGCCATGTTTTCATCAATTCTGCCCATTATTGGCCACCCTTACCTCTCTTCATCAGTGACAATTATTCTCCCCTCAGAAAAATGTTTAATCCATTTGTAAACTGCTATTTTCTTCATGGTATTAACCCCATAAACTTGGACCAACATGTCTCTGATTTCACCTCTGCTCTTGCCAAATTTAACAAGATATATATGAATTTCTTCCTCTAATTTAAAGTTCTGTCATTCTTGAGACATCACATAAAAGCATGCAACAATAGTAATGAACACCATTCAACAAGATACCACCACATGTCAATGCAAACATAACTGAGAGACGCTGATATACCAAAGTTATGAAACCTTACTGAGTTTGTTTGTACAGTGCTACCAGTGTAAGCGCATGGTGGCAAGTTTGTGAACTTAGTTGTCAGACTTCACATGTTTTGTTTTTAGTAATTGATACTGGGACTGTCTAGCTATTCTTTATACCAAATAGCAAAGTGATTTAAAGCTCCAAATGGAATAAAATTACAGGTGGTTTTAAAACATGCTAGTGATTTATCACTTACTTGGTATACGTATGTTATGCACAGGAATTTTCTAGTTTCAAAAGTAGTAAACGTTGAAAGACAGCACCTGTGGCTCAAAGGAGTAAGGCTGCAGGTGGCGGGTTCAAACCTAGCCCTAGCCAAAAACTGCAAAAAAAAAAAAAAAAAA